CTGTGATTCCATCTACCATTTACCCAATTTGTCCTTGTCCCAAAAACTTAGTTTCTCTGGTACATCATAATAGGTTACCGATACTAGAGTAATTACGTTTATTTTGCACTGTGAGAATGTGAATGACCTAGATTCAACCACGTTTCACCTACTTTTCTTACATTGGAACAAACCACTATCGTTTCACGTAGTAAAGCCCGATGTGTAATCGACGCACTTAGAATGTTTCAATCTGTCCATTGGACTCACCACCGTTCACCACATGTGACCTGGCAATATTGCAGTTGTTGTGAATGTAGGTCACACATTGAAACCATTTGGTTTGATAGGCCTACTGTTTGTTCCCCCTTGTGTAAACTGGCACACAATGCCATCACTGTGTATAATGTGCTGATTCTGACACCCACGGCTCATGGTTGAGTCCCTTCTTTCTGATTGCTTCTGTGTAAGCCTGTTTTAAGCCACAGTTCACTGAGACGAGTTCGTTCCTACGTGCGTCCTGAATCAATACTTGTTGGCTATTTTTGAGTTGCTGTTGTTAAAGTGTCTGTGCCGGAAGCACAGATTATTGAGGTATTGTATATTTGTTTTTAATTGATTGCCAATAGTACCGTATTCCAGTTCCGGTCTTGTTTTGTTGAAACCGGTGGAAACGCATTCAGTCAAGACTTCCAAGCGAATTGTCGCTTACAGTAATTGTTTCTGAGGCTGCGAGCCAGTGTGTAAGAATTCGCCCCATTTTTCCGGATAACCGAGCTTCTGAAATGTAAAACTCCGTAAGGGTCTGGAGGTGGTCGTGAGAGCGTTATGCCGCAAGGAACACGAGACAAGTATATGAAGCAAAATAAATTACACGCTTTCGGTCCCTTACTTCCTCTATTTTTTGTTTGTTTGCAAATCGTCTGAATGCAATACACAACAACCGTAAAAGATGTGAAACACGTGTGTTAAGATGAATAGTAAACGGTTCTAAAACCTGAATAACGTATCGGATGATTGACCTGCTTGGGTTGGCATAGTGTCAAGGGTATAGAGAAATCTGGGATGACTGGTTCTGTTGCGGCCTGCAGGTCAGCTTTGATGTTCATGCAAAATACCCAGGACACGCAAAATGTTTTCGCCAAAGTCAGAGTCAGAAATGGCACATAGGGACTTTACCTATGTAGGAAATTGTTCAACTAGGTCGTATTAATCCCCCGACAGCCTAGCAAGTTGCAGAACATGTCAGATGACGAATATTTGAAGGACGTTTGACGGTCGGTTGTGATGGTGGACGGGCGTCCGTAGTGAGACAGCCAACGGTCCAAGAAGGCACGGATGACAGTTTCCGTCGTACAGTTCTTTACAAGAATGGCTGCTAGCCATCTGCTAAAGTGATCGCCACATATATTTATTTAGTGTATCGCAATTAGATGACAAGCTAGATAAAACACTTACCAATCCCGAAAAGCGCCGAATGATCGTTTTGCCCTATTGGGACTCCTCTTTGGTGTGCATTCCTTCGGTCACTTTCAGGGAACCGATCCCTTGACTTCTTGCAGCTGGCACCAAATAGCCAGCAGCTTATACCACTGAGCCGTTGGGTACTATAGCTGACCATCATGATTTACAATCTAACTGCGAAATAAGGGAAGAGTTAAAGGTCATACCAGGTCCAACTATACTTGTGAGAACCTAGAAATTGGGGAGATGAATAAGCCCAGAAGACTGTGGGTGTGACGCGGTACCTTGTGCGCTGATAGTGATGCTAAGCAGAAGTTCAGTTGCGAACTTCACTACTTGCGACTGGCAAAATGAAACTTTGGGTAACAAATTCCAATTATGCACGAATACCATGATGAGAAAGTGAGTGAAAGGTGTCAGAGACTGTGCGTCTGAAACAAGAAGCCAGGAGGGGTGTAGGACAACCTGTGGAAGTGTCGCAAAGGGCAGTTCCATCCATGGTTCGGAAAGAAATGGGTTTCACGTACAGCGAATTGGACTGCAAAGAGCATTGAATATCTTCATCTTGGGCCTGGGCCGAGGTTACGGCGACAAAGTCTCTAAATGGCACACAGGGGATGGTGAGTCTGACGCGTGAGCAAGCGTCAGAGACGGGGTTGTCGACATCAGCAGTGAAGTTCATGACAAAGTCTAAGTAAGCAGTTTCCCGTGAAGAATTTCGTCGGCAGTTTAGTTGAGTGTGCTGATATGTGGCTCGTTGTCAGTGTAGATGATGAATGCGCAACCTATTAATGTGTGTCGAAAGTGAAGGATAGCTAAGCAAACAGCAAGCAACTTTTATTGAACGTGCTGCAGCGGGATTCCACTGGTTGCTAGCGTTTGGGCAAGAAGGAGGATGGTAGCCACTGACCACCAACGTGTTGTTGACCAACAGCTCCTACCCTAACGTCTGAATCATACGGTGCGGAGTCAGCTAAGTGAGATAAGTTGGATAAAGCATTTTTAGACTCTGTGAAAGTCGTGTGTGTAGCATTATGTAAAACAAGCTTACGCTCGTTTTCTTTAAATAGGTCAGTCAGGGGCTAAATGAGCTGAGCACAGCGGTGAATGAAATCTCGATTAAACCAAAAAACCGACGGAGGTGTGTGTATGAATGTAGAGCTGAGAAGTTAGTGAAAGCCTGAATTATATCTGCAAGGATTGTGACGCCAGGCGGCGAGGTGAAATGGCCTAGGATTTCTACCGTAGACTTTCCAGGTTTGCACTTATTCAGGTTAACGGTTATGCTACTATGTATTGGGTCAGTTGCTGGAAGGGGATGACCGAGTGACTTCTCGTCGGATGAACTGGCTAAAAGAGTGTTGTCGAGGTTAAGGTAAGCAAAATCTAGACTAGGAGTGACATCGTGGATGAAACGTTGTAAGGTCTGTGCAACATTGTACAATCCAAAAGGAATTCTTAAAATCCCGAACAAGCCGGAGGGGATGATAACGACTGTTTTAGACATCTCTTTCTCTTCTACAGTGATTTGTTGACAGACACCAACATTGTAGATTTTGCTGAAATCCGTCTTACTTGGGATGTCCTGCATGTGAGGGATAGGGTATCTGTCGGTGACCGTTAGTTGTTTAACGCGCGTAGTCACGGAAAGAATGCCTGCTTCCAGATTTCTTTGGGACCATCTGAATTATGGAGGACCACGGGATGTCTAAGGGATTGATAGTTCAGATTTCTATTGCGCTCCTAAAACACCCAAGTTAGCCTCGTTTTTCTGGTGAAAGACAGCTCGGTTATTATGGGACGGGTGGGACATTAGTCCGGACACGATAACTGACTTTGGATTCCACAGAGAAAATCATGTCCACCGATTGAATGAGCTTAGGGTAATGAGAGAAAAGGTCGGCACAATTGGGTGAGGTCTGTAGGAAGTCATAGATGAGGGTGATAAATATCATATCGACGTTGTTGCAACGGACGCTAAACGTTGTTGCGAGGTTGACTATCCTCTTTCGTTTTACGTCAACAAAGAGATCGAAATATCTGAGGAATTTTATACCACTGATGGCAAAAGGGACGGCTGCCCAAGTTTAATGTTTATCAAGCGTTGGCCATATGCAGAGATGAGTATGCATTTGGCAGCACGAAATTTGCGGGTGAACACGGAGTCTCCTTACCAGGTGCAGCAGGCACCACGCTTTCTCCGGCCACGGTTCCAACCAGTAACGCGATTTGCAGTCCATAACACAGAGGAGACGACTACTGTCGATTGGGCCAATGACGCTAATCAATGTTAAGTCTCGATCCCGGTATTCCGCTGTTGACTTGTAGTAAAAGTGCATAGTGTAGTACAATGCTTGGTTCGCACACCAAAGCGGTGATGTTGCCAACAGTAGTCATTGCTTCCTGCGTTTTCGTTGCATCTAGGTGAGCGATGTTGCATTATCAGAGTGCATTGCTGTTCGAAAGCCTGGGACAAAGTTCCGAAATATTGCTGCTAGTTCCGTTAAGACCCTCGTTAACTCCGTGAGGCTGGGGCAATGAAGTGGTGTGTGGATAGTTAGCTGGATCAGTGTTATGACCACTTGGAGGCTGCAACAAGGGTGCAGTTACGTAATTCAGTTGATACCTAAAACTGTCCACACTGAGTGGACGATCTGAAGGGCGTAGCCCGGCGATTGCAATTGAATCTCTGCAAAAATATCTCGTGCTGTTTCTGGTAAGCGTTGTAACCAGAGTTTGCGCGTTAGTGTCTCTTACATTGGTGATTTATCAAGCAACTATAGCATATAGCTCAACGGTATAGAGCACTTCTTTTCACTCAACTGCGGGCCTAGAAAGGGCTGTTGAAGACTGGTCCGGTGCGAAACTCTAACTCTGTTTATGGCGGCTTGCTTTAGGGTGTCGTAATGTTACTCAGTAGCAGGGTGCATTAACAGGTCCCTGAATGACAGAGTTACGATTCTAAGTAGACAAAAAGTAGCTGATTACACGTCGAAGGAGTTGAAGTGGTAATATGGTGAGTGAATTCGGAATTCAAGAACACAAACTAAAATTTTTGATCACTACTTATAAAAGGAGTGACTGGAGTATTGACAACGTTATAAGCAGTGTCGGATGATTCAAGTTCAGGATGAGTCATCGTGAAAGGATACTAGGCAATGGAAACGGGGAAACATCAAACAAAAAGATAAGGTTCGGTCTCACTAGGATGTTGAATTTAAAATGTCTACCATGGAGTTTTCAAAATGGATCACTGGGGTACTAGTTGTGACGACAATCAGAAAGTCTCCTGGATATCAAATATCCATAAGTGAAAAGTAACCGGCTTCATTGTGCACTATAATAAGCTACAATAGACTGAGAGCAAGTTAGCAATAGCACAACATAATTTAGTGCATGTCTGACCGAGAAATCGAAAGTGGAAGGGTTGTGCACTCATTAAAACCGATGGACAGTCACACAATACAAAGACCAATAAAACCAAGTGTTGCAAAGTACTAAAATCGCAAACATTTCACTTTCAATGCACATGCACTCACTCCTTTCTATCGTTTCAGACTATTCCCTTGTTCACATCTTGGAAAGTGCCTACGACGAAAATGAATCCGTCGGGAGGTCCTACGCAAATTTCAGAGAAAAAATAAAGAATTTATTCTGCGCTGGATGGGTTTGCTGTGTACCACGTGCGACAAATATACATTGTGAACAAGAGCCACCAGCCGCTAAATCAGTCAGGCAAACACTGATCGATCCTGTGCAGGGCATGCCTACCATTTTCCTGTACCTGTGGTGCACAAAGGTGAGTTAATACTGTTCAGGTCGTACTTCACTGTTGCACGTGTATCTAACAATTTGGATTCACTGCGCATATCCTTATCGGCCAATGTGCGCTCGTGCCCCTCATGTCTTTCACCAGTTCTCTCAATTCACTATAGAGATGAAGGGTCCGACGCATCTTATACCCAACGGTTAAATTGAAACACGATCAAACAGTGGAACCGACACGGCGTTATTTGCCGGGTCTCAACCGTTCGCGACAATGCACTCACTGACCAGTTGAGTACTGGTTAGACAGAGATAGTAGGATTGTGACCAGAAATCGAGACGTTACAGTTATCACACGAACCCTCAACTCCTACACTGCTGAGTCGCGGCGGGTAACGCGAGCAGTGAAACTCGCAGGGAGATGCATTTATGTATGAGTAATCCCGATAATCTGCTCGCGAAGTTTAACTAGCTGATTTTAAACTTAATATTCTTGGTTGTACCACCTGGCCTGTTCGACTGGCGTTACCGGCACCGCTTTGTCCTCACTTGTTACACAGCACTGAGATGTCAGGATTAGGAGAAACATAACTAAGGAAATCAAACTAATCCGAGCATTCCTCCTGTAATTCCTTGTAATTGGCGTAAACAGGAGGATTCGCAAAGTTGCGAGATATACTGAACCGGTGGAAACGGTTTTCTACGACTAAGCATGGTGAATCTGTAGACGATCCGCATGGTATGTTAATATGGTTTCAAAAGCAGGTAAAAATTTGATGGTAAACCACGACTACACCGTGGAATTCCATTGGATATGCAAACATATTTATTATGGAATTTGTGGATTATTTTAAAATACACGTTTTGTGGATGGATTGCGACATGCAAACTCAATGTTGACCGCGATTCCTATTGAATTGGACTCTGGTCTATCAATCGCGACTATAACCTAAGCAGGCAGAAATTGGGTGTTGCCCGCCCGAAAACACTGCACTCAAATGACCATTTTCGATGTTATCCCATCGCATCAGATAGTGATATCAAACATCGAACCCGGGCCATTGATTGCGCTTGTCGCAACCCATCCACACAACGGTTACTTCAAAAATGACCCTCATAATCCATCATTAACCATGGTGCCAAGCTTTGCCCGTCGTGACCCGGTAGCTTAGGGTTATCGGACACAATTAAGATCCCAATGGTCCCACGTTCCACGCATGCAGTGATCGAAAGACCAAGGTTTACTTTAATGAGAATCGCGGTCAACACTGAGATTGCGTGTCGCAATCCAATCACAAAATGTGTAGTCCAAAATTGACCCTCCAATCAGTCATTTACCGTTGTGCCAGGCGTTGCCGGCCGTGACCCGGTAGCCAAAGGAGTAGAGATATCGGCCACTATTCTAATGGTCGCGGGTTCGAGGTATGCTATCTCCACCTGACGAAATGAAATGATATCGAAGCGTGTCGTGGTTTTGCAGTGTTTTCGAGAGGGCAATACCCAATTGCTATATTTTTATTATGATTTTCCGAAATGAGCGGATATCTGCGTAGATTTCCCCCGCCATGATATTTTCTGATAAGTTTGGGTTGTGTCGTTAAACCTACTGTTGATGTTCAGCTGTAAAGGGTAAACGTAACTTAAATGGGCACGCTAGCGCAGCTAGTAACTCTTCATGCTGGCGTTGTTAGTGCGCTTGAAAGGCTGTTTAGCATGTTGTTTCTGTTGCCCAGGATCTGGGTAGTAAGTTTGAAATACTCTTCACTTTTTTGAACCTATGCAATTCACACAAACCATCTCACGGGACTTGCCAAATCTTGGATTTTTCGCCCTATTATACCATAGTTCCATTGTTCATAGCGTCCAGCAAATAACCCCTGGCGTTTTAATGCTAAAGTTACAGGAATGCTCGCCTCCTTATCTTAACCTGTGAGCGTTGCAAAGCCGTGCCACTGTCATGGTTAACGATCTGAACATCCTAGCTTATACAGTGATGTCCTTCGACGTTAAGTTTTAGCGAATAGCTAGCAGTATCAAACCGCTCGACTGCCCATCACATCCGTCTGTGTGCATCCTGGACCAATGATAAAAGATCATGTCACAGGAATGTGTTCGAGAATATGTGGTTAAAAAATCGGCTTGCGCTGTTGGACTGAGTACACATGTGGCCACCACACAACTATCTTAATCAAACTGGGTCAGATTGCTTACTGAATGCTAAGCAACAGCAGCGCGATCTTCTTAGATTAACCATGGACTTTCTGGATTTAAATCGCTGGGCATTCCTGAACCTCATTGGTTAAAAATGAAATTTTGCAGCAATTACTAAACAAGATCACCACTGAATGCGGACATGGCGAATCAAAAGAAGTGAAATAGACACCACATTCTCTTCTCCCTTAATTAGATCGGACGGTGAGCTTCAAACTATACCATGCGGTTCCGGGTGCACGAGAAGTCGGTCAGTCTTCCAAGCAAAATGATACAAAATTCGGTAGGATTGGGATCTGTAGAATCGGTACAATGCTTTGTGCACTCGAACGCTTTATAGTGTGCAACTGCCTGGTGACCCTCTCACTCACTCTCTCTCTTCTTATTCTCCTTTTCGGCGCAAATACGATGTGTTCCCATTTTCCTGACAGTGCATGACCAACGTTGAACTATTCCGTATCGCTGCGGCAACCGGCAAAACTCGATACTGCCTCAGCGACTTAGTTAACTCTATCATTAAAAGTAGTCGTTGAGAGGCTTTTGGACCAAGGGTACGATGAAATAACGGTATATTACGGGTAAAAAAGCGGAGGATTAACAAGTTCCATAGGTTGGTAAGAATGACAACTATAACACGGTGAACATAAAATGCGGTGATAAATTGACAACCGTTTTAGTGTACTCATCACTGTGTTCTTACAGAGGCATACAGTAAAGAACCAATCTCAGCGTAGGTTAGTACTAATTGTACAACGTTCGTCACATTATATCGTCCGTCAATGTACACAGGCTATATCTCGAAACCTAGGTGAGTTCGGGCAACGTCAAGGAATAGTTTAAGTACAGCTAAAGTGGAGGCGGAAACAACATAATTTGGGAGGGCGTTCCATGACTTTCACACAGGAAGCGAGTGAAAGTTTCGCCGACATTCTAGCAGACTGTATTGCGTGGCTAACTTGAACTGACTGCCCCTCAAAGTAGTGTTGTGACTGAGTTGAGAAGGTGGCGGCAGACGCGGTTAAGGCTCCTGAGAATCTGGCAGACCATTATTAGTTCGCCACGTAGGCGTTGATAATGACTGCTGTACAAGCTTAAATTCATCAGCCTAAGTTGATATGGAAGAAGTAACAAACCTTTGATGTGCTTCGTGGCTCTTTGCTGTGGAACCTCGAGTGCTGCGAGATCTTAGCTGCCAAACTTAGATTGCGTATTTCACATGAGACCGCGCGTATATGTTGAGCAACTGCGAGCAGACAGAGGGATCGAACCGCCTGAATGCCCTACGTTACATGCCAACTTGTTGGTTCCCAGTTTTTGACGCCTTCTCAGACTGTTCTGAGCAGCTCAGATGAGCCTGGATTCATACCCCACGGTCGCACGCTTGGGTGGCTGCTTGCAGGACATGGTCTCCAAGCTAGTATACGATGTTCGGTTCGTGACGAGTGTGAATCTTTTTACAATTAGACGAGTCAACATAGGAGCAGATTGTGGAGTGGCCATCCATAAGCCATGTGCAAGTGTCGCTGAAGTGTATTGTAATCTCTTTTGCCGGCGAGTGCCGCCACAGCTTAACGTCATCAGCAAAAACAAGAAACCTGAAGCAACCAAACGCGTAAGCTTGTTGATGATCACAATAAACAAACGCGGCGGCACAACTGATCCTTTTGTAACGCTGCATCAGATGTGAATTGGATCAGGATAGTGCACTTCGAGTCGAAACCTGCAGTTGCCGATTCTACAAGAAATTCCTGATTTACCCAAGGACAGAATCACCAACTCTATTGTTTTCAAGCCTATGAAGCAGAATACGGTGGTCCAGTTGGTCGAAGGCTTTGGAGAAGTCGAAGTAAATGACATCTGTCCCTCTACCTTCATCGGCCGCTTCCGTCCAACTACTGCATACAAGCAGTAGGTTTGTTGTACGTGAACGGTGTTGGTGGAAACCGTGATCCTCAAGTGATGTGATGTGGCCTTCTAGATGGTCGACTAGAGCCTCAGGGATGATGGTCTTCACCTTTAAGTGCACAGCGTGAAGTAGCATTGGGCGAAAGTTTTCGGATTCCGAGAGATCACCACTTTTGAAATTGGCGTGATCAAACCATCTTTACGGTTTGATCACGCCACACCATGTTTACTTCACCAGATCTTACTAGCAGCAGGCAAATCCTCAGGCGGTATGTCTAATGGCCAACACGGTTATTGGGTCACTTCGTAGTCTCTAGAAATTATCGGTGCTCGCCGGCGTATCCCGGCTGCAACTTGCGAACACAATGAAACTCGCAAAGAGCTCCGGGCAAAACTCCGTGCTAGCCTGAAGACAGACCGTGAATCTTGATGGTCTCACCGTGCGTCAGAGATCGAAGTGGCCGCTGCCCTTAGCAACCATCGTAAGTTATTCCGTCTGATACGGGAAACGGGCAACAGGAGACCTGGTGTTAGTGAAAATATACGTGACGAGAGTGGACAGCCTATCCACAACTTATCAAAACGTTTGGACCGTTGGGCTGAGCATTTTAAAAAGCAATTTAATCGGCTAGAATTGTTCGATTCTTCGCCGGCCAGTGATCGCCCTGCTTCGTGGGCTGTCCCTTTGGATCCACCCTCTCGCTCAGAAGTCGAACGTGGGATCGGACTGTTGAGGTTGAACAAAGCCGCGGGACCAGATGATCTTCCTCCAGCCCTCTTCAAATTCGGAGGCTCTGCTCTTGTTGATGCTTTACATGAATTACTAGTGAAACTGTGGGAGCAAGAGACTGTCCCAACCGACTGGAGCCGCTCCGTTATTGTTCCCATCTCCAAAGGAGGCTCGCGTTTGGAATGCGG